ATATATATATATATATATATATTATAATATATATAATTATATATATATATAATATATATATTTATATATTTATATAAATTTTATATATATATATAAAATACTTGACGTTTATCGATATAATGATGTTTTAATGTAAGCAGCTTCGTTATTCTATATTTACAAAACAATTTACTAGATGTGCTATGTACATAAAAAATAATAGCTTTACGATTTAAACTTGCTTAGATGGCACTGAAACTTCATATTGCAGCTTTAAAATATTCATGCCATCAACATGTAACATTGCACTGGCTTGAGTAGCATCAAGTGCTAAATAGTCCTGGTAGAGCTAGTAACGAATATACGAAACTACCGTAACTATCAATCAGCTTTATATAAAGCTTCATAATTTCTCGAAATACTATTAATATATCTCTAATAATATATATATATATATATATATATTATCTCTAATAATATATATGTATATATATGTATATATGTATAGTGTGTATGTGAAAATCTAAATGCCATAAGTTTCAAAGTTAATGGGGGCAGTTTTAGAGCATATATACAAGATGTTCCTTTTATCTATGCAAAAAGTCTAATCTTTGTACATAATATAAGTAACAAATCGTAGAATTGTATATAGTGTCTCTCTTTTATATTTATGCATTGTATTATTTTAAAAAATACATCAGTTGAGCTGTAAAAATCAACAATGAATGATCGGTACGCATAATCATAAGCCTGAATGAATTTGATTATGCGATATGTTGGTTTTTATATTAGGATTTTCAATTCTAATTAACTCCCAGAATATAATCATCAGAATAGTTTATGATAGTTGAGTAGGGGACACCTGTATACATATATAGATATAGATATATATATATATATATATATACACACACACACACACATAAATCTCTTTTTATTAATATCCAAATAAAAACAAAAACATCTAAAAACGTTTAACGCATCTAAAACAAAGACTACCTTTGTGACGTAATAATATTCGATATAAAATAAATAGAAATTTAAATTTAAGTAAAATAAAGTTTCGCCCATCTTATCTCGTCTCGGACATTTCATCCGGCATAGATTGAAAAATAGAACATCTAGTATATATATCTTACATGTGTACTATATTAGCATAGTAAATAAATTTTAAATAGCAAAATTCGAGAAACACATCAGGTGCCCTTAAATAGTGAACATGCTAGTTATACTTTGGAATGTTTCAGGCCCCTTCAACTATTTAAATAATTTCTTTCAATTTATAGACAATATAAGAGAAAATATATACTTAATGATGGTAACATTTACTTTCTCGATATTATGCAGTAAATAATCGCGCGCGTCTTACGGTTAATACGGTGAATGAGGCTTTAATATTATAAAGTATCACCTATTATATCTTCATTACTGTGTTCTAGAGATTCACATCCAAACAATACGTATTCTTCTCGTGACAGCCAAAATGGATTACCTTCGATATATTCCGGAGGAGTTTTATCTGAAATCCATTTTAAGATATTATTCCGTCTCACTGGGTTTTTGCAATTTCCTAATGCATTTCGACATGTTTTTTTACTTCTATATTCTTCTACAATATTTAGATTGATTTCAACGTCGTGCTTATCGTGATTCTATTTAATTACTATTACGTGCAGAACTATATGTAATATCTGCCGATGCTCACCCGGATGTACAGCTAAAGGCACATATGTAGATCCCATTGCGACGTTCCAACTGTGTGTACCAGGGCAACTTCTCACTTCTAAAACGTTGCTATATTCCGGCAACAGTTCAACCAGGTCTTTAGTAAGCCTCAGCTCAAAGCCCGAAAGATCTGTATTCCCGCCAGTGAGTAGAATACGCGAAAGACAATCGTGCATTTCATCCTCCGACAGTCCGGAAGTCACGTCTTTTATAACTTGAGGTAAACCAAGGCTGATATACATCATTTCAGGAGCTATGTACAACTCGGATCCTAACGATACTCTCTAGAAACAATAATGCAGAACATACCGTTACATCTATATACAAGATGGGTCAAAAGTCTGGATACAGTCGAATATCACGTAAACGATGAAATTAAAAAAAAAAAATGCCTTAGACAAAAATTGTAGGGTTTTAAAAAGATTTATTTATGACCTTATCAGTTTGGCCTTGGTTGAAGACGTCAAATGAATAGAGCAATTGATTCGTGCTGAGAAATCTATACGATTCCGTAAAAAAAGAAAAATGAAGTTGACTTTCGCTTGACTTTGACGCCTCCATCCAAGGTCAAATTGATAAGATCAGTAAATGGCTCTTTTTAAACCTTGTAACTTTTGTTTAAAGCATTTTTTTCAAAACTGCTTTATGAGATATTCGACTGTATCCAGACTTTTGGCTCACCCTATATGGATATATACATATATACATATATATCATAAAGCAGTTTTGAAAAAAACAAAATATATATATTAGCACATTCCGGTTGTACATACCCAAAATTGTTTATAATCTGCATAACTATCAACCCGAAGATTAATGTGCTCCCTCGCCTTCGGCCCCAGACGTTTCTCCTCGTTCTTAATGTTGTAACTCAGCCTGCATCTTTCTTTGACGGCCAGAATATCTAAATAGGATATAGGGATTTGATGGTACTCCTTCGGCTGCCAGTGCAGAGCTTGCTTCAAATGATAAGCAACGTGCCAGCCGCCCACAGGCAGCAGCCGCCAGCGCTGCGGTATAACCCGGCCTCCTATTACGACCGCCACCGTTGTGCTCAGGGCACCGCTGTCGACCACCACGCAAGTTTCGACATCCAGCATGGCGCACGCTGCCAAAGGTTTGGGCACCAGGCACACTCTGCAAAAACCTTCCCTTGTAAAATTCTACAAATAGCTATCGACGGTGAAAAACGGTGCGTAATACAAGTATGAAATATTCTTAGTGTCGAATATACGCGGAATATCCCGCCGTACTATTTCAACCACTTCTTTGATTGATACTTTAAATATTTACGGTAATATTTCAAGGATATATTTGGAATATTAATAAGCGGCCATACCTCGCTACTTTGACCTCTTGGAACAAGTAATGTAACAATTGTTTCCTCAACGTTGGCTGCATAGCCAACGGTTCGCAAAACATGAGCACGGTATTCGGTTTTCTTAACGTCGTAGTCAAGCCCATTTGGTGAAACAGATGATCGATGAAGGTTTTGAGAACCGGGAATGTGCCCTCGCACAGTAAGGCCTCCGCCGGACTCACGATGTCCACGTTCGGAATGCCGAGGACCTCTACTGTGTCGGTGCAATAACCGTTTATAAGCTTCTGATAAATCGGGTTTGGTCTGGTGTAACACATCGGATCGTTCTGATACGTGACTAATCTACGCTTTTCCCTGTACAGCTTCACGGGGTTGCAGAATACGCAAAACGGGCCGCTCGCGCGCGGGATCTTCGCGGTCGCCAGTTCCGACAGTTTCAACAGCTTCAATCTCTTGGCTAGTGACTTCGTCTCGGGTTTTGAGCGTGTGCTACTGCTGGGTATATTTTGCGTCTGCGTCTGTTCCACGTGTGTTTTATTGTTGTATCTCGGAATGCCGAACATTGAGAAGTGCCTCCTCAGCCCGAAGAACGGCGTGATAACCCACGTGTACTTGTTCCCGATCTCGATGACCACTTTAGCGCTGGAACCCTCCACGCAGTTCCTCTGACACGTGTAACCACTGCAGTGGTAACATTTTGGAAAAGGTACGTTCTCCCCCAGCGTTATCACCATGTGCAATCTGTAGCACATAGCTTTGAAACTAACGCTGAGTAACTGCAGACACTTTATATCCGGGAATTTAAAGTGTACCTTCGAAATCAGCTGCAGCCACTTCATCTTCCTGCAAGTACAATGCAAAATGTTATCTCGAAAATCGGAAACAAATAATACACGTTACATAACTGGCATATATAACATTCGCCGCATTTCGAGGGTCAACTTGTTGAGAAAATTCGCTGCAAGATATTTAGGTAATTTCTCCGAAAGCGTGTTGACCATGTGTAAATAAGCTATCTCGCGAAATAATTAAGCTATCTCACGAAGAAATTAAGATACAAAGTACGTCCGTTCGTACGGTTGAAATAATTTCGTTTGAAGCGCCGAGTGTTGATAACACGTCTGACGTTTCTTTTATATCAGTTGGTTTTCGCTTTACGTTATATCTGGCGTGAAACGCTCCCGAGGAAGGAGGTTGAATCGCTTCTGTCGTATACAAAAATTCCGTACGACGGATTTCGGTGAAATTAGCGAACGAGATCCGACCTGTTAACCGCGCGATCGCGGGATCGTGCGTTTCGCGCGACGCATCGCTCAAAAATTCTCTCAAAATCCGTCCGATTAAAGGAGAATTTCGTGTACGCCTAACCTAAACGCTCACCATAGATAATCGGTGTCCGATGTTTTCCTTAAGTATTTGCAAGTGCTGCCAAACGCAATAATGTCAGGTACATCGCAGTATAATAAAATCTTAATCCAAATCTCCTCCGGGAAGACCGCGGGATCCATAATTATTAATTGATAAAAACGATAGAAAAGTGTACGATCAACAGTCACTGATACAGGCCTTCAGACACTCCCGACACTCCCCAGGACCGAGCGAATACGCTAGTCAAGTTCAAGGTTACAATAGCGGTAGTGTGAATCAATATAGTTACCGGTGGACGGTATAATCGTGGAAACGCGCGGGTTTTTCGTCGGGATGATCAAACTCCGCTGTTTTACTTCAAATTCCGACTCTCGAAAATTCCTATTGGAGAAATCACGGAAGAATATCGTCAATGACGAAGGTAAGATTAATGCATGGTGTGTGTGTGTGTGTGAAAATGTGACGTAGAAATCAGTTTGATAAAAATTTAATAAAAATTATCTATACAGGATTTTGCCTTTCGACTTGGGACTTACAGGAATGCAAAAGTAATAATACTGCTCGTCGCGTTATACATTTTTCTTATAACGCATTCTGGTGACGGACAATTGTCAAGGAATTTTCAGTTTTATTCAAGAAGCGGCGGACAATGCTTCGATGTAGGAGTTCTTGTGAGAAAGTACGTCCTCCTTCAGCGATGATATCCGCTTTTCCAAATCGGTATCGGATAATGATCGATCCGAAGAACTGCATTTCGTGAGGAACTGCAAAATTAGTTCTTCGGCTTCCTGCAACACCATTATACGACTCAAAACTATCATCCGTCGCTCTTATCATTAACGATAAACATTCCCGAATATCGCCAGATATAAATTATCGCACACACTTGTTAGAAACATCGCACGCATATTGTTAGAAACATAAATATTAGTCAAATTACCTGAATAATCTTCTGCTTCTTACGAGGATTGTCGGATCCCTCGAAAACTACGCATTGATAATTTTCTAATTCTGCTTGTTTTCTTTTGGCGAACTGAAAATTTCATATATTAATGCACGAAGCACACATGCATAAAATCATATCACGCAAATACGGAACAAATATATACAAATACACACACCTCTATTACATCCTGCGGAAAACTAGCCATTTTTGCGACGTGCAGGCCGAAACTTTGATCGCAAATTCCCGGTTTCACTTTATAAAGTAACGTCAATTTATCGTCCTCGACGAGAGCAGTGACATGTTGATTTTTTACCGCGGGTATCTCCTCAGCTAATCTGGTGATCTCGTGGAAGTGTGTAGCAAACAGACAGCACGATTTGATCTCCTTCGCCAAATGTCTGGATAACATCAAATACTTTCGCCGATAAATGATACCTTACAGTATTCTGCAAATTCTCCCCTTCGTGGGGAAACAAATTAACAGAAGTAACGGCTTTTCCCTTATTGTATACTCACTCTGCTATCGACCACGCTATACCGCAACCCTCGTACGTTGATGTTCCTCTGCCCAGTTCATCGATAATTACGAGAGAATTACACGTTGCCGTCTGCATCGGAAACATACGACAGATTACGATACATAATATCACATCTTTAATCTATAAAAGCACGGTAACGGTAAATATAGAAATTACTTTTAAGATAGCAGCGGTTTCTATCATCTCCATCATGAAGGTGGACAATCCTTTCGACTGAGAATCATCGGCTCCCACCCGAGCCAGTATGCAGTCAAGCAACGATATAGTTGCCTTGTCACAGGGGACAAAACTACCAATGTGAGCCATCAGTGCGGTTACGCCGACAGACCTGATGTAAGTACTTTTACCTCCCATATTTGGCCCGGTTATAATGCAGAAGTGACACTGATCTATAAGCGAGTGAACGAAGTTCAAAGTGAAACTCAAAGGATTCCTTAGCGATACCAAATAATTCGTGGAAGAAAAGAAAAGCACGATTAGATCGGCTGCATGAGAGGACGGTTTTGGAGCTGGAAGAGTTTTGTATTTTACCTCGCTTAAAGTTGACATCGTTAGCAATGTAGTCTATTCCCTGTTGCATTTCCAGGCACGGATGTCTAACTTGAACGAGATTCAGTTCACCTTCCTCGCTCAACAGCATATCAGGGCGCACATACACCTTGTTAGCGCTCACTGCGGCCGAGGCGAATGCGGCGAGGACATCGAGGCATGCCAGGATACCGCCGATAGAACGCACTGTTTCACTGTAACCAGCTATATACATGATATGTTAATTCATATTTATACTGTTATCACACGGTAGTTTTAGTATATCTGAATAATTCAAGCGATGGGACGTCAGCACAAACCTGCTATTTCCATAATCTCCGTAATAACATCTTTCTGTTTATCCATGTATTTATTTCTGGCAGCAATGAAGTCGTCGTTCAGTTCGTTCAATTTGCCATTTCGGAATCTCACACCGGCCTTGTTGGAGTCCAATATGTTGTAATGCTTCTTATTCCGAAGTATTTTCTCCTCCTTCAATGTGACACGGAAGTAATAGCCGAATTGTTGGTTGGATTCTAACTTTATCGCTTTCCCCGCTTCTGCGTCGAGATCGTCCGCCACTTTACCGAGCTGCTGTTGTATCACTTCCTCTATTTCATCCATGGCATCTTTTAAAACTGCACAATATCAAATGATTATTAATAATTATACAATTTTGTAACGTTATGTAATATAATATAATATCGATTGAGTTGAATTTTCATTGCATTTTAAATATCTCGTTTTGCTAAGCGGAAAAGTACAATTAATATATAAAAAGTCCTTACCTTTGAAATCTTCTGAAAATCCTGGATTGACCATGAAGTCTCCTTTCTCAGCAGCGTCTAAATCAATTGTCTGTTCCACCAGCTGTTGAAACTTATCCATATCCTCGACTAATTCTTTCAAAGGGTCTGTTATCATTGCTTTCAGTGCGGCCAGACTCGCCTCCGGTGCAAGTTGCTCCAATAACTTCGGTATGTACGACACACAGAGGTAAATCCTAAAATATGCATGCATCTAAAAGACATCCGTACGTACACATATTCTCTATAAACGTTGTATTTTGTAATCTATAATATTTTATAATGACGGTGGAGCAGCCGTTATTTAATAACGAGACGACTCACTTGTAACAATCTTGCAACATTGACTTCTTCCTAGCTAGTTTCTTGGCGAGTTGTTGCAAATCGGGTATACGTCTCAGATAATCCTCGCAAAGAGCAGATCTCAATTCATTATTTCTCACAAATAATTCAACAATGTCATGCCGTTCTTTTATCAGAGATAAGTCTCGGAGAGGCTGACGAACCCATTGTGCGATTAGTCTATGGCCCTGTGCGGTTCTACATTTATCTAGAAGTGTTAAGATACTAGCGGCGGGATTCCCATGCAAATTCGAGACCGAATCGACACGCGGCTCGATGTTAAGAGCCTTTATTGCTGCCGAATCCAATCTCAAATATCGCGACTGCTCCACTTGTTTCAAGACAAACTGATTCATATGGCCTTCGTCTGATGTCAACTAAAAAATCCGGAATCATATATAAATATCGCGCCGAAAATCTCTTAGTTTTTAATATTGATAATCTCGAGGAAGAAAATCATTTCTCTATACATATAGAGTGTGCCTAACTAACTCGGGCATCTGAAATACCTCGTTTGTTTTTTATGATAGAAAAAAATGTCAGAGGAAAACATTGGTTCGGAGGGGATTTCCCGTATTCAAGATCATGTGAAGGCCATAGTATTATAGCCGTTAGGATTCGTCTTGACTTCGGCTATCATGAAGTGATGATAAAAATATGTCGTTCCATTAAAAAAAAACTCTAATGGCCTTGAAATTTCGGAAAAATATGACCTTGAACAAAATTTCTGGTCCATCATAATATTTACCCATCCGAACCGACCAATGTTTCCCTCCGATATTTTTTTTCTATCATAAAAAACAAACGAGATATTTCAGTTGCTCGAGTTAGGTGGAACACCCTGTAAAAATATACGTGAAAATGTATCATTAAGATTAGATATAATGAAAGTGCAAGATTTTATGTATGATTTTTTAAATAAAATTATAACGACACATACATCTAAATACTTGATGAGAGCAGATGTAGCAGACATGGCTATATTTAAATTAACTTCAGGTAGAGATTGAGCATTCTGTTTTTGTCCTTTCTTGAATTTGATCAATGTGTTTAAGTCTTCTATGATCGAGTCACTGGAAAATTCACTTTTTTTCTTCAGAGTCACCAATACGTTGTTTCTTTCCATCAACTAAGAAAAGAGAGAAATAAAAATAGTAGTATTATGCTTTTTTGAGAATATAATTGGAGAGTACATGCGAAATTTTCAAATACATACTTGTTTAAGAATCTGAAATTCGTGACTGCCTTCTCCTTGAATCAATAAACATTCTTTCGGTGCAAGAGTCACGACGAGTGATTCTAGATTCGAAAATGACTCGTTGTCTTGAAACTCGGCGACTGAAATTAACGCTGAAATCACGTCCACACAGCTTAAACCGACGACCTAGAACATAAAAAAGTGACTTACAGCACTATTTTTTTTTTACATTGGAATGTATAATTTCTCTCTTTCGAATATCATATGTATGATAGTTATTATATTATATAGCACTTCTTATCGCATACAACTTACTCTGGATTTTCCCTCTGTACCAAGTTTCACAGCTATTACAGACACACCTACGGCTATATCATTATTGCCGAATAAAAGATCTTCGAAAGGGGATAAATTGCCCGGTGAACCTTTGTATTCCAGAACCCAATTTTGATTTTTAGAGGAGCCCTGATTGACATAAACTTCAACTCTGTATTGCCGTACCAATAACAGGTCACGCACAAGTGTCTCGAAGTGACTTTTGTTGAGTATAACTCCTTCCGTCTTATATGGCTCTATATTTAAAAAAATGATTAATAATTAATTCGCTTTCTTGCAGCGCGCGAATTAAACGTTAAATCCAAACTATATTCACGCATTGAGGAATATCACCGTTGATAAGACTTTTTAAAATAACTTGAATAAATTGGATAAGGACATTTAAACAATATTTGAATGTATATGTAGCAACTAAAACATATCAAAAATATGAGAATGTAAGAACTAACAGCGAATTAAAAATTAAAATAATTGTTCCAGCAAATATTTGTAACAACTTAAATATATATGAGAATATTGAATAAGTAATTTCAGAGTATAAAGTTTCTCGAATCATTTAAATGGCCAAATTTACCAGCTCCGATCATTTTGCAAACAGATGTCGTTTTAAATATTACTTGCGCAGCAAACAAAGCATCACTCCCGTGAACTGTGTAATATTCTGATCTATTGAAGAACCGTATGGTCGTGTCCAGTTTCTGAAACATACAATTATTAAATTACGCTATTTTGTCAATCAAGACTTTCTTCGAGTTTCGCAGTACTATGGAAAATAAAGAAATGTCTCAAGAAACGTATTATCAAAATTCGTATAAAAACGTATTATCAATATTCCCAGATCATGTTATTATGACGAAAGAGGAGCACAAAATGCGTCACTGCATATTGTGAACTGAATCTCATGCTTTAACTTGTCATTTAAAGGCATCCTTGACCCATTCGCATAAATCATAAGCTCTTCTAGAGATAAGTATCTTTCTTCGAAAATAATGTTACAATTATAATTTCAGAAATATTAACACTATATTATAAACCGTTAATATATATATATCTACGATTCGTGTATATATATACCTTTTATTATGCTAAGGGTGAATGAGAGCTTCCATGAGAGCGATCTCGATACGTAAGTATCATTGGAGCTGATGGGGATTCCCCATCACAAGGCTAACATGTATAAAGATAGGAAGTTCCAACTTAAACAATCATGAAGAAAATATTTATACCGAAAATTTATTTTATTCTTATTCGTATTTCACACATTATTTATATTTTATAATTTAGCATATTATCGCTGTTTTAATATTATTTATTCTCTTATTCTCCATTATTTATATTTCACACATTATCTCCATTATTCACACACACACACATATATAAATTGAATTTTCATAAATATAATGGAGCTATCACGATATATTCATAAACTGAAATAAAATAACTCATAAAAGAGAAAAATTAAAAAGATTCCTGTGGAAAGATATATAAAATATATATTTTAGAGAGATATATAAAATATATATTTTAATAACTTATTACATAATTTTTCCTTAAATCTAATACTACATTTATTATTAAATATGTGAACATAACAATAAATAAAACTCTCGTCTTTTAGACACTTCTAGAAAATATTTTTACATTTATTTAACGTGGTATCGTTCACGAAATATCGTCGTATATTTCATACTTCTGAGAAATTAAAATCTTGTAACGTATCTGTAGGTCAATGTCTATCGGGAGGGTCAGAATGTTATAGGTCGTCACAACTTCGATGCGCACGATTTCACAGAAGCCGAGACTTTCAATCAATGTTTTCCTCATATTCCCCTCAATGGAAGGACACACGTAAGTTTGAAAATTTTTCCATTTTACGATTCAACGGAACTATAAATGAACGTTCTTTCCACCAATATTATACTTGGATATTCTAAGATTGCTGGAAATCTATACATATCATATCTATCGACTATATTTATATGACTTTTTAAGAATACATAATTTACACATAAAAAATCCAAACTTCCTATGGAGAACAAGAGAATAAATAATATTAAAACAGCGATAATATGCTAAGTCATAACATATAAATAATGTGTGAAATATGAATAAAAATAAAAGAAATCTTCGATATAAATATTTCCTTCATGATTGTTTAAGTTGGGACTCCCTATCTTTATACATGTTAGCCTTGTGATGGGGAATCCCCATCAGCTCCAATGATACCTACATATCGAGGTCGCTCTCATGGAAGCATCATTCACCCTTAGCATGATAAAAGGTTACAGTTCATATTCCAGGAAGGTCAGTAATTTCTATCATAAGTAGGCCACCGTTCTTTTGTTTTTGCAAGTGTCCCGTTTTTTACAAACTTTTTTAAAGGACATGCTATATATCGTCGTATTCCGACAAGATACAAGATGAGAAAACGTTTGCGAGATTAATTCCGTTTTTGTAGTGTGTAATTAAAGAGAAAAATGTCATTGGGGAAGTTACGGCCTTTGCGTAACGGCAACCTCGAAATTACTTTGACTATTACTGAATGAAAGTAAATCTGACTGTCTCGACAAGGATGTTACAAATCCAGAATGACTTAAGCAATGACACATCAAGCCAAACATGGAATATGGAAAACCACTTACAGCTATTACCTGGAAGTCGTGGTGTTGGCTGCCGTATATATATATATATATATGTACACACGAATAGAATGTATCATGCATTTTTTTGTTCGAGATTCAAGAATGTTATTGCGTAGGTAATCTATGAGGATATGACCAATAGGATGTGAATACAAGTTTCTCAAGTGTGTTACATTTCAACGTCCCGGGGGAAGAAAGATCAATATGTGAAATTTGTATAATATATAACTACATATAATCACATGTATCCATAATTAAAAAATATTATTGTTTACAAATTGTATGTAAATATAATCGAGGTAAATCTGGCTACTTCCGACAGCACGTGACATCGACATTTAATTAAATGACATAACATCATTTTTTTCGTACGGACATATTATATGTGTAACATGTATGGGCAAAATGCATATATAATTTTATATAGTTTTATATAATTAAATATAATTATATATAATCATATATGATCATTTTTCCCCGGAGTAATTACGTAAATTCACGATTATGTTATATACGATTATTTTCTACTGAGAAAGTACCTAATATTTTCTTCTGACAAGCAAACGTGTTCCTCGCAAGGAACCTTTCTTCTACGTACAACGGTTTTTTTCCATGTAACTCCATTTAATGTACGATTATAAACAAGTTTGTGAGAATCTCGTTTATCTTCGAGCAAAAAATTCATTATATGTATGTAAAATGTATTATATAAGGTGGAGATATTTTTAACATCACGAGGTCTTACGTTATCAAGAGCGAAGGACCGTTTGGTGATCGTGTGTGAAGGAGACAAAATGTAATCCATAATTTGTCGATGTCACAGAATAATGCAAATATGCGCGTGTAAACGACATAACGCAGCAATTATACATCTGACAAATATATTACGCGCAAGTGAAATATATTTTCTTATTGGCACTTGTATAGGCAACGATACAGTCAAGTTTTGATTTTCTGAGAATAGTACGTGATAAAGACGAGTCCGGGCTGCGATGAATAAAAAGAACAGATCGTTAATATGTAGGAGCGAGAAGGAATGCTTTGAGAATCATCGATGAGAAGAAGGGGAAGAGAACATAAATGGATTTGCGGCAATCGGCGCTTGCTACATGTCAGCCTACAGTGTTAGTGAGAACATCTCCGCATTAACAATTTCGAACTGTGCGTCTCTTTCATTATATAAGGTAACGAAATGTTGTATCGCTTCATCGCTTCAATAACGACAGGTGTGAGTTGAGTGTGCGAGTAAAATTGTGAAAGTACCAATTTGGGCAAAGTAAAAACGTAAAGAACCGCACGGATCTAAAGTCACATTTCTTCCTCTTTTTCATTGTCAAGGCAGACTTTCTGATTTTGAGAAGCCAATTTCTTAACGCCATAATAAATTCGAAATTTAATCTATTGAACACTCAGCATCTCATATCGCGCCTCTCTTTCTCTCGAAGTTACCGATTACAGAGAAGTTGATATTCAAAACTAAGAGATAATGTTGCATCATCACGTTTCCCAAAAGCCCTTCGTTCCTCATATTACTTCTAAAATCACTATTGTTTTACCAAATCCGTTAATTAAAACTGACCACGAGTTTCGTTCGATGTGCGTGAACGAACGAACGCCGATATACCTTATAAAAACTGCAGATTCGGAAGAAAGGGAATTTTTTGTGATTCCCTTTAAATCGCGAGACATGCATGATAGAAGGGAGAGTGGGACAAATATATATATAAATCCATCCACAAATTCTCTTCTCATTTCAGAGATCGGACGGATTATGGCGGTGGGGCGAATAATAGTCTTATCCGCGTTGTTTGTCGAGGCGCTGTCCGCGCCGAGCGGCTGCATAGAATCCTGCAACTTCTACGAAAGTAGTCACTCATCCTACCAGAGCCGTCAGACGTCCGGCGGAAGTCACCTGGACCATGCTGGTTTGATACAAGGTACTCTGAATGAGCAGGACTACGCCAGGCCGGGCAACTGGACCGAGCGCAATCAGTATGGCACGAGCAACGGGCAGGGCAAGGTGCACGAAGAACGAGGGCAATACGTGGAAGGCTCGAAGAGGGTCCGATATTACAAGAAGAACTTCACGTCGTCCTACGGTACGGGCAACGTGCCGGACGGTGCGGTCGAGTTGGACCGACTGAGCGGTCATCGGGAATACGAGTCGTTGCACCTGCCGAGTAGCCAGCATCTCGACTCCCAGAGCGCGTACGTGGATCAGGTAGGGGCGTCGTCGGTGACGAAAGAAAGCGGATACAGCAGAGTGCAGAGCCAACAACAGTCGTCGTCGTCGAGGCGAATCGACGGCCAGAGCGAGAGGCTGGAGGACTTCGGGGAGTACGGGTACTCGCAGGTGAATCGTCAGCGTGGGCAGACGAGCGGGCAAACGAGCGGGCACCAGCGCGCGGAGACGAGCCTCCCAGAGAATTGGAGCAGAGTGGACGCTTACAGGACCGACGGGGGCCGCGGGCGCGTCTACGAAGAGGAGGGTCAGTACGTGACCGGGCCTAAGAAGGTCAGCTACTACAAGAAGAACTACACCTCCAGCTACAGCACGTCCCCTCAGGTGACTGTCGGCTCGCTCCCGGACCTGCAGCAGGAGTTGCGGCAGAACTTGCACGAGCAGCTCGACGGCTTCAGAAGACAGTTCCATCAGACGTCCAACGTCGGCCAGGTGGCCACCGTCGCGAGCTCCGCTTCGAGTCTGACGCAGGAAACGGCCGGGCTCCGCAGCGACGATCTGCAAACCGCCGAAAGTGACGCGTACAGGCAACAACTGACGACTACTCAGCATCGCGTCCCGTCCACCGTTACGCACCATTACGCCGGCGAGCAGCAGCAGAGGGAGACCTTCGCTGCCGATACCAGCCAGCACGCGCCCTCCTACACCTATCCTTCCGCGGGCGCGTACGGCACGGAGAGCCAGAGGACTTACCAGAGCCACGAGACCTACGTATCTCGGGCGCATCCCACGCCTCAGCCGACTCACTCGTCCCAAATCACCGCTGCGTTGTCCTCGTCCGGTTACGTCCAGAGGCCGGTGATCGGCGACTATCGCTCGCAGAACGCCCACTCCAGCGGACTTCACGCGGGCTTCGACGAGGCTCAGCGCGCGATCGTCGCCGACAGCCTCCACCGGGCTTCCAGCGCGGCGCAGAATCAGTTATTCGAGAACTCCCAACGCGTGTATTACCCGGATCGCGGCACTTATCCCGGCGGACGGGGTCGAACGACGCACTACGAGGAGCACTGGAGTTCCTCCAGCCGCGCCGACGGGAACCCGGATCGTAGCGCGTCTTACGGCGCGGACAGGACGCATTACGACAGGGTCGCGTACAACGAGCACCTCGGCCGCTACCACGACGCGGCACGGCAGGGCTACGACTCCCAGACGCACACCGGCGGCGCCGCCTACAATTCCGGCTACAGGGCGACCTCGGGTCAGCTGGTCACCGGGTCCGCGGACGTGGGCCAAGTGGCGCACGGCGCCGCCGACTGCACCGAGGAGACCCATCAACACTATCAGCAGGAGAGCAGGTATCACAGGAAGTATAAGCGGGACGGGCAGCAACGTCCAGTGAGAAGCGGGCACGACGATCTCGCGCAGCAACATCGGCAGTTCGGCCAAGAGTCCCAGCAAGTGGAGGACTTGACGCAACAGACTCTGGGCGATCAGCACCTGGAAGACTTCACGCAACAGACGAGCGGTAAACTTGAATTGGGGCAGCAAACTATCGGTGGCCAGCACTCGGAGGATTTAACGCAGCAGACTGAAGGATTTGAACAGCAGACAGCAGGGTCTGATGATTTCACGCAGCAGACGAGCGGTAAACTTGAATTGGGGCAGCAAACTATCGGTGGCCAGCACTCGGAGGATTTAACACAGCAGACTGAAGGATTTGAACAGCAGACAGCAGGGTCTGATGATTTCACGCAGCAGACGAGCGGTAAACTTGAATTGGGGCAGCAAACTATCGGCGGCCAGCACTTGGAGGATTTAATGCAGCAAATTGAGCAATTGTCACAGCGGACAGAGAGATCCGACTTCACGCAACAGACGAGCGGTAAACTTGAATTGGGACAGCAAACTATCGGTGACCAGCATTTGGAGGATTTAACGCAGCAGACTGAAGGATTTGAACAGCAGACAGCAGGGTCTGACGATTTCACGCAGCAGACGAGCGGTAAACTTGAATTGGGACAGCAAACTATCGGTGGCCATCACTCGGAGGATTTAACGCAACAGAATGGTGAATTTGGTCGATACGTGCAAGTAAGTACATTGGGCAAGCCCAGGGATCAATATTTGGAAGAACTTAGACGTCAGATGGGAGATTTCCGTCAACAGACAGAAGGAAATGATGAATACACGCAACAGACAATGGAACAGCAGTCGCAACAGCCGCATGAATCTGGAAATCAGGATTTGGAGGACTTCACTCAGCAAAATGAAGATTGGACCCAGCAAGCTGGGGGATCTCATGATTTCACGCAACAGACGATGGGACATTTAGAAGTTGGACAGCAGCAGCATAGATCTGGAAACAAGGATTCGGAGGACTTCACTCAACAAAATGAAGATTGGACCCAGCAAGCTGGAGGATCTCATGATTTCACGCAACAGACGATGGGACATTTAGAAGTTGGACAGCAGCAGCAGCAGCATAGATCTAGAAACAAGGATTCGGAGGACTTCACTCAACAAAATGAAGATTGGACCCAGCAAGCTGGAGGATCTCATGATTTCACGCAACAGACGATGGGACATTTAGAAGTTGGACAGCAACAGCATAGATCTGGAAACAAGGATTCGGAAGACTTCACTCAGCAAAATGAAGATTGGACCCAGCAGGCTGGAGGATCTCATGATTTCACGCAACAGACGATGGGACATTTAGAAGTTGGACAGCAGCAGCATAGATCTGGAAACAAGGATTCGGAGGACTTCACTCAACAAAATGAAGATTGGACCCAGCAAGCTGGAGGATCTCATGATTTCACGCAACAGACGATGGGACGTCTAGAATTTGGACAGCAGCAGCAGCAACAGCATAGATCTAGAAGTCAGCACTTAGAAGATTTCACTCAGCAGAACGAGGATTTTTTGACCCAGCAAGTTGGCAGATTTGATGATTTCGCACATCAAACGCCGGGACATTTGGAACGTGGGCAACAAATAGAGCAAGAACAGAAGCCTGGCAGATCGAGATATGACGCTCAATACTCCGAACATCCTTTTCAACAAAGTGGGTGGGACGAGGAGCTTAAATGGCAGCTGGAGCAAATGTCGCAGAAGGCAGATCCTAATGAAGATTTCACTCAGCAGGCTGATCGCGATGGACAATCGGTGCCGGCATCGAAGCCGAAACCAAGGCAGCGATATCCAAAATACAGCTCGAATCCATCGCGTGCGGACGTAAACGCTGAAGACGTTTCCAAACCAATCGAGATCAATCCAGAGGCTGATATCAATGATAGAGGAACTGTTCGATACGACAGTCACGCGACACATCCCAAGTCCGACGATCTGCCGAGCCAAGGTAGCAACGGATTCGACAACGAGAAAGAGAACATAGATCGGCTGCATTGGGTGCACAAGTCGAACGACGCTACGGTGGGCCTACAATGGCATTACACTTATCACCCAAGTGACTTAACTAACGTCGAAAGCTCGCACAACGTTTATTACCCCGAGTATAACTCCATGCATTCACAGCAAACGGAACAGCGAAAACCGGTCGACTTCACGCAACAACAACAACAAGAAACACAGAAGCCTACATTCGAGGTGTCTCCCTTTAACAGTCAGTTGGATCAAAATTCTGAGTATATCCCGTCGAGAGTAATTCCACTGCAGCACAGCAGCTATACTTCGCAACAAGCAACACCGTTGGATAAACAATCGGGTCAAAATCCTGGGCAGACGGAACTGAAAATGGAGTCGCGGATTCTGGAAGTGTTCGGCGGAGCACCTTATACAGCACGCAATGACGATATCTACAGGAGAGTCACACCAAATCCCAGCGCCACCCTGCCGCCTGTGTACGGTGAAGAAGCGTGGGATGTTAGGGAAAAGCCCAGAGGAAGAACTGAGGTGATACCTTGGTCGATAACGAGGAAACCAGCCACGGACGAAGCTGAGGATGCTAGAACGACAGAAACGGAAACTACAACAACGGCGGAAACTACAACACAGGTCGCAGAAACTACGACAAAAGAGGAGGATCCGCCGTCTTTCTGGGCCAGAGTTGGCAACAAAATAACCAACACATATGACAAAGCCAAAGAAAAAGCCAGAGAGATCTTCGGTTAGATATCACATTTCCTACCTTTTTTACACAAATTACTTATTTATACGGAGCAAAATTTGTCATATTGACACTTCGAAATGTCTGTTAACATCTACGAGCATCTATTTATGAACAACTTGTATGAACTCGGAGTTGCAAATAAAAATGAAGCAAATAAACCGTCAAATGTAATCGCAATATCATAAGCTTGAGATTTCAAACAATATTTTGAATTAGTATTATAGGACATTATTGTTATCATAAAGCAATTATTGTAAAGAGCTAAGACAGCCCACAATATTTTATTTAAGTAAAAATACATTTTCTTTTTTCTAAGAGTATTTTTTATTTTATATAAAACCATATATATATATATATGTATATATATATATTATGAACCTATTTCGTCTATGTATCCTTATGTGCAATAGTACTTTTTGTGACATCTATTTCTTTTGTAAAATGCTATTATATCATCAACAATTTGCATATAGGTAGAATTTACTATAGCTAATCGTGTGATCATATTTTATAACTTGCTTTTTATCATTAACAGAATGTATGTCAATGGATTTTGCATACTTACCTCCGGAAGACTTTTAAAAAATCTAACGAATCCTTGTTGCGTCGGAGGATCTGAAATAAATAATAATAAACGTTAGAACAAGAGAAATATTGTGCGAAATTGGTTAAATTGTTACATACCCATGCTAAATTGTTGAGTAGGTTGTACCATGGTTACAGTGAAATAGAACACGCAAGCAACGAGCGAAACGCAAAAAAGGTATTGTTGTTTATAATATTTTAAACTGCAATGATACGTTACAGACGTTCATTCACTGTTCATGCACTTTAGTGGTCTATTCTTTTTAGCTGCACTGTTGAATTAGTGCAATAAGTCCCGGTCTATAATAGGCGCTTTAAGCCTTAAGCCTTAAGAAATAGACCAATCACAGTCGACTATCATTCCTCACATTCGGCTGTGATTGGTCAATTTCTTAAGGTTTATGGCTTCTGCTCACAGGCTTACCACACGTTTGCCACGCGGCGGAAATTCGCGTAGTAGCCAATCAACATGCCGTTTTTCGATAAGAACTAGAACTTAATTGACCAATCAGTGCAAAGTTCTCTTTTTCCGGGGATTGGAAGCGTCTATTGTTAATGCTTTTATTTCGTACAAAGCATCTACTGTTAATTCGAACAACAAGAAGATTTCCCACAAACAATTTAGAGAAGAACTTTCGCTCGGACTTGTTGGGGACTTGCGTCTCACAACAAAAACAGGACGACCATCGTCCAGCGACAAGGAACAGCGATTAGATGGAACCTTACATATAATTACACTGCATCCGCAGCGTAAACACAAAAATTGCACAGTATGTTCAAACAAAAAATATTCCGGGTGGCAGAAGAGAGACTACATATATACGCGAAACCTGCGACAGAAAACCGGGATTGCATGTCGGAGAATGTTTTAAACGCTATCATACGCTATTCTGGTAAATTATAAGCTGTGAAGAATAAAAAATAATGTTTACAAAATCTTAAACTTTTATTTTATACATCCACCTATTCATAAGTACGTTGCGTTAGTAAGCTCATAAATGTTTTCCAAAGTAAACGGTACCAAGCGGATAAGCGATTGACGAAATCTGTGCGGACCGGCTGGGACGAAATTGCGAATACAGCGCGGACCGCAACGGGTTTAATCATGAAGTAATTCTATTAATCGAAATTAATAAAAATCAGTCGAATTATAACATTTGTTAAATATTTTTCGAAATTTATAGGAACTTGGACTTAAACGATGCAGCCATGTATATGGTTATAGTGTATATAGTTATATTTTAAAGAAATGTTAAATCTAAACTTCAATCTATATAAAAAGGTAATTAATTTTAATATCATATTATTCACAACCATGCTCTGCTTTAACAAAAAATATAGCAGTGAATAGTTGCGGTGAATATTTAAATAAAATAAATATTTATTTTATTAAGTAGATATTTTAATAAATATTGAATTTGTTTAAATATTTGCTGCTATATTATATAATTTGTTGAAGTTTACGTCAAACTAAAATTATCACTTTCTTATTTACCGACATAATAAAACTTTGAAATAAAAAAAAAGAATAATACATGACCGACAAAATTTCGTTTTCAAAAATTAATTCTACGCATTAAAATACATACATTACCAACATTTCAAATAGATCTGAGGGGAGAGCGTTATACTATATATTTACCTAATTGTTTATTAGTTAAATTACCTTCGTAATTTAGATATATGCAATAGATATTATTTTGGAAATGAAAGTTATGCCAAATATAAAGTAACAAACTAGCATTATAACAAAAATCTTTATTTTACAGGCTATTTACAGGTAAAATTAAGTTTAATTATATTAACTCAAAAGTCATTTAAGCAGATCGATGAATATTTGACATAATGTATAAAATAATAATAATAGTATTTTGTTTAATAGTAACATAAATTTTTTATTAAAGGGGATATATGTGAAAATTATATGAGAACACACTCACAATTTATATATGATATGAGAAATCTTTACATTGTATTGGATATTTCTCAATATTATACACATAGCATTTCACAAATCTACATATAGAGTTTGTAAATGTCGAGTTATAAGATTGCCAGTTTGCTTAATATTGTACAGTTTTAACAGTTAACGATAAAATTAGGATATTTTGGTGTTATCAACTTCAATCAATTTATTTTATATCAATTGTTCCTTAACTTTAAAGCTTCACATAAGGATTTCCTCGTCTGATCGATTGTATCATACTTAAGAATATATTTACTCTAATTCATAAAGTATACTACAGAAAAAGGCCTGTTCAGTGGATACTTCAAAATAAGCCTGCACATATTCAAAATGAAAAAAAAAAGAAATATATAGTTTCAGACGGTACGTGGTAAATTATAATCACAATATCTGTCTCATATTGCCGGTGCAAATGATCGATCAACGCATTTCTCAATGTCTCGGAAATCATTGAAATAATTGTGCGTGATTTTGCTGCCTCACACGCGTAATTAAGAGTGAACCTGGGGAGTGTCTGAAATATAGACGTTCAACATGATTGACACGATATATTTCCGTACATTTTGGAGAATATCTGAAAGCAAAACGACAGAACCCGTTGACATCGAATGCGACAAAGTCGAGTGGTTTAGAATCATGACCTATAGTAAATATACAAGGGTTACATATTACATTAATTATCTATACAAGGTACTCTCAAATTACTTAGTGTACATGCATGCGATCTTGCTGATCTGAAGGGTCCACAGTGCACATCCATATCACACGCACATTGTACTATTCATTTTTACAGGTTTCCGAATTTGATAAGACTTTGTGAATCTTATTATACAACGGTTTGTTCGCGCGTTTAATTCTGAGCGTGAGCGTACCCGTGCCATGAAAGAGATAACAAGATACATTTTTTTTTCTTTTTTTTCAAAACCTCTATCGTATAAACCTTCGCACACACACCTTGTAAGTTTCTGAAACATTTGTTAAATGGTCAAACTCGTTGCACAGTGCTCTTAATGATAATAATCGATTATGTGCAAGCAACATATATCTGTAAAAAGCCTCCACGAAGCAGGCCATAAAGTGCATTTTTTCAATGTGTTATAACTGCATAGATACATATATCACTGTAGTATTAACTTTTATAATAAATAGCACAATAACATTAATGTTTCTTATTACACGTTGGTTCTTTACTAAATATGTGCACACATTGGAACATATCGTCAGATGCAGTAAGCGTTATCGTTTATTGAGGATGTTGACGAAGGTCCGAAATTTCGTTTGCACCTCCGGCATTTGCGCCAGCGTCTCCTCCATCATGTTCCTCAATCTCGCCAGGTCGGGCATCTTGTCGCACGACTCGATATTCAATAATTCCGTGAAGAACTGCTCCCACGCAACCTTTTTCGCGTACCTGTCAAACGAGAAGCGCAAACGTTAGAGCTTCATTCGTGTACCTGGTTTACTCACGTAATACCGTTACTTGTACGCACCTTGGTAATTTCGAAGCAATGAACCAACGGCCACCTATATTAGACACCCTCATATAATTGCCGAATAATAAACAATGACTGGTCGCTGCCAAGCAATACAGATCGGTCTGATATGTCCATGGTCTGCCGGTCTGCATTTCGATACAAGTGAAATCTTCCGTTTTGATCACTTGAGTGAACGTTGTATTCTCCGGTAATAATTTCATGTCTATGCTACATCCGAAATCTATCAATTGTATAGTCGGCCTTACATCCTGTGTAGGTCTGTGGATGAATACGCATATAAACATACGGCATAATTCGGTCGATAGATTTCCCTCGGGAGAAACTTAAATACAATCTCAAAGTAATACTAACGGTCGCATTAGTAAAAAATTATCCGGCTTTATGTCCCCGTGTATTATTTGGCATTTGTGTAAGTACTCCACGATTTGGAGCATCTCAATTGTGAAGAAAATAGCTAGGGTCTCCATCAGAGGTTTGCCGGTGGCGATTTTTATTTGATTCGTCACCGCCAATAACGTCCCGAACTTGGAATATTCCGAAACTAGTATACTTCCATTGTTCGCTACGTAAGCCATCGTCACATCCATGAAACCGCGCAGCTGAAAGAGGCGAATATATCGATTGCGGTGAAAAGTGACTTTCAAAAATGTGAAAGAAAAGAAACGATACATCTTCAAACGAAGAGCGTCAATATGCATCGATCAAGCGGCAGATGGCGTTTGTATATACCGTACCATGTGTGAATTTGTAAGACGCGCTTTTATCTCGCGCACGATATAATATTCCCAGACCCAAGCGGGCTTTTGCGTTTTGAGAGCGACGGTCTCGCCTGTCTGCACGTTGACCGCTTTAAAAACTGTCCCGTACATCCCTTTTCCAAGGCACTTTTCCAAATCGTACGCCTCGTTGCCTACGCAATCGCAAGTGCGAGCACGATTCGAAGTAAGGGGGGAAAAAAAGTTCGGTGTAAATGCATTTCAACATGTAAGTTTCAAAAGGTACAAACACCTGTTTACTGACCGAGCGTAACCAGAGTAGAAGGCACGAACTTGTTTAGGTTAGTATCTATTCTCGTATACCCCTCGGCGTGATGGGGCTGAGGAAACTTGAGTTTTTTCAACAGACCAGCGATTAAGTTCTTGTCGAAAGGATTGATGTCCTTCGTAGGGAGCTCGAAGCACTCCTCCTCCACCTGTTCCATAGGCTCATGCTCTTCACAATCCATAGTGTCCAACTTCTCGGAATTGTCCTCGTTAAGCGTGAAATTTATCGATTTCCTCAGATCGCAATTATTCTTGATCTCGGAGGTGATCTGATCGACGTTCCGTTGCACCGTGCGCGGACTTTGAGCGTGCACAGCCTGGATCTGGGCGTGCAGCTTCTGCTCGTAGGGCTGATTCACGGACAGCATGGATTCGTTCGATTCCTCGTTTATAGCTTTAAATCAGAGGGAATTGTCATTTTTCTCTCGACGAAGGAAACTGGCGCATCGAGAGACGCTCAATGATTCGTTTAACTCGATGCAATTGAGACGAAAGGTTATATACACACGTAGAGATCCCTTATAATTTTGGAAATCTACCTATTGAAGGGAAATATGTACGTACAGCGCAAATATACATACTTGTTTCCACAGATCGTTCCTTAATAGGAACCATGTCCTCCCTGGTGATGGCAAAAGTCAGGCCGGCAGTCCTGGTGTAAGTGCTGCTGCCTGAACTGCTCGAGACATACTCCCGGGTAGACTCCAATATTACGCTCAGCTTCTCCTCGCCTTCGCGGGCAGGTACTTCCGTGATCCTATCGGACGCAACAATAAAGATATTCAAATCAAACGAGCGAACGTGCGCAACCGCGGGAGCAACGGAAAATCGGTACGTACGGCTGGCTCGCGGCAGTGGTTTGGTTGGAAAACTGCGGTTCTTCCTTCACCCTGTAAGACGGCTTGAAATGATTAGTCATTGGCGTGGAGCTGGCTAATTGCGTGTTGAAGGCTTCTGTAAAGCACGTATCGTTACTGGCCATCAGCGGTGCTATACCCAAACTCTCGTCGATATACAAATTATTCTCATCCGTCGGCTTGGGTACCATGTTCTCCTCCAACGGGCCGTTGTAATCCACGACGATCGCGTTCTCTTTGTCCTCGGCGCTCTCGAGATACTTGATGTCCTTGCGATTCATCCCGGGCGACTTGATGTACGGCAACTCCGGCGGCATTCTGTACGGTGCTTTGCTCGTCTCGATGTCGGAGGCGGGGGAGTCGTTGTACGGCGAGAAGTGCAACTGCTTCTGCTGTTCCACGCTGTGCTGCAGCATGGCGGGCTCCATCGACGTCGAGTACTGCTGATAACTGATGTTCTCGTTCGGCAACATGTTGCCGTAGACGGGATGCTGGATATGCTGCTGCATGTGCTGATGCATGTGCTGAGCTTGTTGCTGGGGATGCTGCGGCGGCATGTGCGACGGCTGGTGGTGGAGATGGTGGTGGTGGTGATGGTGGTGATGTTGCGGATGAACGTGAGACTGGTGATGCGGCAGCTGGCTGTGAGACTGTAGATGCTGCGGATGGGTGAGAGCCTGGTGGTGCATCTGAGGCGACGGGATCAGCTGCTGATGATGTTGCGGGGGATGTTGCTGCGGGTGTAACTGAGGGTGCTGCTGAGGATGGTGCTGGCGGGGATGCGGCTGTTGCACTTGGTGATCGTGTTGATGTTGCTGTAACCAAAACGCGCCGGTTGTTATTTAACGTTCTCTTTCGAAAAACGACCACGAAAATACGCGCAACGACTACAAAATATGTTATTATACGAGGGGTGTTATTTGTTTGGTTCTCTCTCTCTCTCTCTCTCTCTTTCTTATGGTGTATAATATGTGTTCCTATACCTGCATCTGATAGTGATAACTGTTTTGCAATCCGTGATTCCCGTACGCCGCCTGCTGATCCTGAGCATGGTAACTATGATGCGGCGGCGTGTGATAACTCTGGTGATTCTCTTGGTCATTGTAGACCTGCATGTTGTATCCCTGATGGTGCTTGCTGTTGGACATCGCATGCTGAGTCATAGAACTGTCCATGTGTATGTCGAACGGCATTTTGTTCCTCGAGTCCACCATTCTGGGCGTGATGGGGCTACGAAAGCGCGGAGTGTTAGCGGCCGTGGCATCCGGAGAGTGCCACATGCTTTGCACGACCCCGATCGCCTCCTTCGTGTTCGCGGTGAGGCTCAGACCGAGCAGATGCTCCTCGGCATCGGCGGCCAATGACGAGGTGTGATGCTGATGCATGAAACTCGAGGACTGTAGCTTCCGTTGCGTGTTCAATTCCGCCTCGATTCGCTGCGCCTCGATCCTCTCGGCCTCCCTCCTCTCGGCCTCTATCCTCTCGGCCTCTATCCTCTCGGCTTCTATCCTCTCGGCCTCTATCCTCTCGGCTTCTATTCTCTCGGCCTCTAACCTCTCCAATTCCCTCTGCTCGGCTTCCTGCCGTTGGGTCTCCAACGCCCGATTCTCGGCTTCGTACTGCTGCCTCTGCAGCTCCTGCTGCTCGGCCTGGAGTCTCTGCTGCCTGCTGATCTCGGCTTCCCTTCTCTGCTGATCCAATTTATTCTGCTTCTCCATCTCTTGCAAATGATACTCGAAGTTGTTCAGCTGTGACTGGGACTGTTCGTTGGTCCCGCGCAAACAAGCCACCGATGACATCTCATGCTTATTCTCCAGAAGTTGCGTCGTTGTTCTGGAGAAAAAGAAAATATACTTTGGAATTAAATAACTCGCATAATATAATAATTCGTAACACACACACACATACACACACACTACTGTGAGCCGCACAATAACGATCGCTGTGTGTTACTACAAAATACAAATAGTTTTCACATCATCTTTCTATATAAGGTAAGTACATACCTTTGCAAGTACAGTTGCGCTCTAATCTCTTCCATACTACGATCGACATTATCAGCATAAACTATCTCTTTGGGATAATGCGCCTTTTGTACAATATTTGAATATATCGGATCTGGCACGTATACCGGCACCCTCAAACAGTCGTGGTCTTTGCTACCATCGGCGTAAGGTACGTGGTTTGGGAATAACTTCAGTTTCTCCATGTCGCACTCGTCGTTCTGGTCTTCGTGAACTGAGGAAAAGAGAAACCTTCCTTCCATTGCTCGCCCTGGGCTAATCTCCGCCGACTTCATCCGACTCGTGCTTACCCTTGAAGCCTGGTCTGACGGTGGGAGCTATCAGCGGACATTTCTTGTTCCCATTGTTCCACGGTCCCGCTTTGATAGTGTTCTCCTTGTGTATCGCATCCTCTATAGGCACGTGATCTAATATACTGGAACATTTCATCTCCCCGGCCATGTCGTCCTGTTGGAAGTAAACATCTTTCATCGCAACGTCATAATTTTACCGATACACCAGTCGTATACAGTCGCGTATCCAGCCGATGCACGATCAATACGTATGTCTCTCACTTGATATATCTGTATCTTGGAGTTGGGCATCTTCGCGTTCTGCATAGAACCGGCGATCTGCGGTACCGCGCCGGGATAATAATCACGCACACGATGGCCCGTTCGTAAACTACCGACTCTTTTGCCAGCTCTGATCGCCTTCAACGAACTGAAAGCCTGACGTTGCTCCAGCAATGATATATCGCTTCTCTCCTCGATACGCCCGAGCGTTTTGCGCGCCACAGACAACTGGAAGTTTCTGTGAAAAGAACATCAAGTTAGCGTCAAACCTCCTTCCTTCTGTTCTTATTCAAGATATTTCGTTACACGAGGAAACAATCGATCCGTACTGATGAGCGTGGCTCAGCTCTTCGTACGGTTCCGCGTGAGCAGATAACCCCATCAAGTAAACTTCATCCGCACGCTTGTAATCCTCAATCTGTTCCAGTTCAAAAGCCCACGCCCTGTACATGTCCGCCACCATAGTCCCGATCCCGTTGTTATGCAGTAAATGGTACAATTCCAGGGGATTCTTCTGCATACTTATCTGAAAGTGAAATTTCATTAAAACATGTCAACACGCGATACCACACTCGTTACGAGATCTCACTCACATAATTGATCCACAGACGTATGTATCGGCGGTCTTGATGATACCTAATCTCCTTCTCGAACATTGTCAAGCATTGCTGCAAGAGCCTCCCAATGTGGGACTCGTGCCCGTTCTTTGGGTAACTCTGCTCCACCCAGAGAATATATTCATACCAACTCTCCAGGGGGTCCTCTCCCTCGTAATTCTTAATCGCATCCTCGTACATTCTGAAAACGACGCGCAAGGTAACTTCTGAAAACTTCGTGAAACATCATATTCGTGGAAAAGAGATCGGAGTCGCGAACGACTGTCATTTAAAGTGGCTTCTTTCGCGATAATTACTGTTTCTCCTGTAACAGCAACTGCTGCGCATCGACGTCCTCTTGAGCCCTCAACGCGGTCCCCAGTTGTGCGGCATTTCGCCCGTACCTCAACGGCTGGATGTTTTCCTTGCAGAGAGCTATCACTGTGGCGGGATCCATTATTGTATTGTTTACTTCTCAGAGGCTTCCTTGTACACTGGATGGGGCACAGGAAAAGGTATCGCAGGATTAGATGCGAGCGATATCAATGAATGAATTTGGCGCATCAATCGATCGTACGATCACGAACGTGGTGAAAAATATAAACATCCCCGCAATTAATCGCTATCAATCGGAGAACGGGCGGGTGATACGCGTAACGTAGCAATGCGGTGCACGAGAAACAAAAAGGCGACAACCGGGGGGCTTCCTCAGACGGAAGCAGCGCGCAGTGTCAGAGCCGCCGACACCAATTTCGAATCTCGCAAAGTAGTTCGGCACTCGTCGACATCGACGAGTGATGTCGACGTCGACGACGTCGCGGGCATATACGCGGCCGACCAGCGCGCGATAGCAACCCGGGTCTCTCATCGGGGCACGTGGGCACCCTCGCTTACCGCTGTTTCGCATAATAGTCCCGTAGCTCGCAGCCGGACCTTTAAATTTGAAACGAATCCTCTTCCGAAAACTCCAATAAGGACGCTATCGGGCTCACTCGGGGGGTTAGGTTAGGTACGCGTTTTAACGGCTCTCGGGGGCCGCCACCGACCACCACCAACGGTTTTCCCACCGCCTCTTCCCACTACACACGCACACAGTGGTACTTCGGACGATCCGTCGCGCCGGCAACCGACGAACAGCGGCGGAGACTCGATCGCGCGGGGGGATCGAGATCGACGATCGGTCGCGGCCTCAGTGCGAAGTCAGCCGCGATATGAAGCGGCGCACACACGGCCGTGTCGCTGCTGCACGCTGGCACTCGTGAATTATCGTCGCTCGCGAGCGCGGTCGCCCGCGCGAACGGACACCTTTGCACGCTCCCCGCGAGAGTGTCGAAGGCCTCCTGCGCGCTACTGTTCCTACAAAGTAACTCGGTAGATCTCGGCCGCCGAAAATTGGTACATCAGTGATTCTCATCCGACGTGAGCGCGCGCGGAGGCTCCCTCCTCCTTACCACGCCGCGCTTGGATTTCGAAACCGCGACCATTGCCGATTCGCAACACGCGAAAACCCACGGTTGGCCCTTGCGCATTCACGATATCGAGAGATTCGTCTAGTAATGTTGCATCGGTCTCGGTTATTACTTCTGACTTTCCTTTCCTCGCGTCTGTTTGACGACACCACCGGCTCCACGATTAAACGCAACACCGTTTCTAACCACGAAATCTGACGCCGTTTCGGAGAGATGCGTTTCTAAATGATTGACGCTGAATCTTTGCACACCGGAGAATAAGATACTTGCGATATTTTGTCCAAGCACCATGGCGTGTGCAACGTTACTGTCAGGCGAGAATTATTCGTAATTATAATTTTAGTTTCTACAAACGGCAGTGACTTTGAGAAATCGAGAAATTTCGGAAAGTAAGAAAATTTGTGGCAGCGATTTTAAGAATGATAAAAATTCACCGAGTCATGCCGTGTTTTGCCCTTTATCTGACGCTAAAATGCTGATGCAGATTTTCAAAATTTCGAAAGTTATTTGCAAAACAGTCATTAATTATCCAATCTTCTTTATTTCCAGGTCTGATGTAACTGAAGAAGTTCAAGATTATTTAATTTTATACTTATAGCTTTTGTAGAGAATTTTTTTTATAGAAAATTGTTTGGCAAATTACAAGATGGATCAAAAAATGCTTCTTACATTATTATTCTATAAAAATGTTGTAAGAGGAATAACAAGTACCTTACTATGGAAACATCCATATTACGTATTGAGCTATATTTTCCTGGAATTTTTATATCTTAGATTACAGAAGTTATTTAAGCAAAACTTTTGCTGGGTCACATTACCAGATATAGTTATCAGGCGTATGTTGGATAATTTGGAAAACACAGGAGATGAATACATCGATTATGAATGCTGTGCATTAGCAAATGTACAATCTTTAAAAAAGTCACAAAGTTCCTGGTTTGCTATATGCTCAATGATTTCGATGAGGAAATACAAATGCACAATTATATCAATAGACCATGTTGGTGAGAATACCATTCTAATTTCTGAAACAATGCGGCATAATTTGCTAAATAACCTGTGCCATGAGCGATTGGATGAGTCGTGTTTTATATGTAAGTATTTATATCTTATCAGATGTATATCAATTCTCAACTGAATTTTATTTTTCTCTGTGAGTTGAGGTAGATTTTTAGTAATTTTTGTTTAAGAAAAACAGATGCAAGGCCATAATCTTAAGATTTGCTTTCAGTACCGTCGGGAGATGATGTGATACAGTTTGCGACCGAAGCGAAAATATTCTCGATCACTACCTCGTGCGATTGTTCGAGTCAGATGGTGGATGTCATGTTGGCGAACTACTTCCTGCATCCTCGATATTTACATGTGAACGACGTAATCAGGATCGACGCGCAAGAGTACGCCCAGGATCGATTTTACACGTCCGGTACTTCGGCGAATCCTGTGATATACCTTGCAGTCAAGTCTCTGAGATTGAGTCGCAACAGACGTCACTATAACGTCGATAGTTGTTACGTCGTGCGTGGAATATCGACGCTCGTCCAGGAAGCAGAGGTTCACAGTTACATTCCTCGGAAACATGTTCACTTGTTATCCGGCAAAGCCTGCTCATGGCAACAGGACGAGACTGAGAAGCTGTCAAATATCGGATATCCGTCTGTTCTGATGGCAACTATCGAGTATTTAGAATCATGCATTGCGCCCTTCCTAAAGGGTAAATCGCTCGGACGCACTTAAATATCGATTTATTCGATTCTTACAAATACACGCAAACGTATAATTTATATAATATAATATTAATATACAATAATAATTAGCTTAACCCAAAAATTCGTTCCGTTTTTCAATATTTCCTCCGAGATGTTGCAACTTCTACGGCTGTGGAATGATGCAGCTATCGAGGAGATTCGACAGATATCGAGAGTCGCCGGACAAAGCGGTGCACGCTTAATTGATTGTATATCAAAATCAATCTTTTGATTAAGAAACGGAACGAACTTTAGCACCAACCCACCTGCTTCCGTGTCTTCCATTCCATCTCTGTCGATTGCAGACAGTCAATTGCACGTGAAGCCGATGTTCCTTCTGAAGGGGCCGCGAGGTTGCGGCAAACACGAGCTGGTTGAGCTCACGTCCGAGAGGATGGGCCTGAACTTCCTCGACGTGGACTTCGCGGAGGTGCAGGCGTTATCGAGCGCGCCGACCGAGGCTAAGCTGCGCATAGTGTTGCAAACGGCGCAGCGACGCGTGCCGTGTTTGCTGTATTTGAACAACATCCAAGTGAGTCGAAGAAACCCGACGTTACGCGTCCTTCGCCGGGAGTTTTCCTAAATCGCCTCTCTTCAATCGCAGGTGTTCGGCAAAACTGCCGAAGGACAGAAGGACGAGAGAATCATATCGACTTTCTCGAAGGAGATCGCCACGTTGTACGAAACACCACGGAAGTTCCCCCTGATCATCGTGGCCGCGTCGGACGAGGCCGACTTGCCCGCGGAACTGCAACGATTGTTCATCGAGACGATTCACGTGAGGCAGGCGAGCCAGAGCGAACGGGCGGAATTGATATCGTGGTTCTTATCCACGAGGAATCTGACGTGCGTCGCGGATCTCGCGACAGTGGCCGGTTCTTGCTCGGATTTCCGATTCGCCGATTTGCTGGCGTTGTCGTTGCACGCGGCTAAGCTGCGCGGAGCGACGTCGCCCCTGACGCAGGAAGATTTTGAACGAGCTTACGGTATGGTCTATTTATAATTGATCCTGTACGGATCCCCTTCCGCTGGAGACAACGTGCTGTCAAATATCTCTAGTGTCAGAACGTCGAATTATGATGCGGGTCGGTTTATGTGTGTGTGTTAAGGAAGATAAGAAGCTAAGATATTAAGGGAGACGAAGATGGGAGGAATAGGTTTTTATGTTAATAGGTTCGATGGTCAATTTTAGTCCGGTTTGATACACGAACCGAGATCTTTTCTTACCGTGCAATAGTAACAACAATTAGCTGAACAGCGTGCACGTCCGTGTTCCAGTGACGATTGAGACCAACGATACGATTTTTCGCCTCACTCAGAACGGAAATACATTTTCAGAATATATGCAGTCGGTGTACTGCGACGGTAAAGGCGCGGTACGCGTGCCGACCGTTCACTGGCACGACATAGGCGGCCTGGCGCAATTGAAGCATGAAATCATCCGCAGAATCCAAATGCCTCTGTTAAACGCCTTTGGATTCGGCCAGTCCGGATTACTATTGTACGGCCCGCCCGGCACTGGCAAGACTCTCCTCGCTAAAGCCGTGGCGACGGAATACCGTATGCACTTTTTATCGGTCAAAGGCCCGGAAGTGTTAAATATGTACGTCGGCCAAAGCGAAAGAAACGTCCGAGAAAGTACGTCATCTGGAGGAATCGTGAGAAATTAGCAAAGACAACAAGTGTTCGAATATATAACGTGAAAAAAGTCGGTTGTACAGAGATACGGATATTTCTTTCTTTCTCTTCTTCCTACGTTTTTTCTCTTTCTTTTCTTTTGTGCGTTAATGATTTCAAATTAAGTGTAGATCGACCTGCTTCGGTAGTCATCGGCGAAACATCATTCGACACTTCTTATCTTTGCACTTGTGATGCGCAAGTCGCACTAAAACTCTTTTATTTTCTATTCGTTCGAACGAAAATTATTCGTTCTTTAGAATACGTTCGCTCTTTCAAACCAAATGCAAAGTAAAAGGCAAGCAAGAAGCTCCGGTGTATGGACGATTATATTAAATATGAAAAGTATTGTGTAACTAACATACAGGGTGTTCCAGAATAACACATACGGACTGCACCGGAAGATTCTTGATATCGAAGCGATTTTTCGTTTACCGAAGCTCCGTTCGAGTGAAATAAGTTCTATTCGAAATGGTATTGTAAAATTTTTAGCAAGAAGACAAATGGCCTATCACTACTCACGTGATATTTCGTGATCCTATAAAGTCGTTCCTGCCTTACGCGCAATCTAGTACGCTAATTCGACAACTTCGAATAGCTCTCATTTAAAAATTATCATTTGAACGAATTTGAGTAAACAAAAAATAGCTTCGCGTTTGATACCAAGAATCTTTTAGTGCATTTCACACGTGGCTACCTGAGATATCCTATATAAGTATATACAAGTGTTAATATAAGGGTGATTCATTTTAATTTTAATAGACAAATATTTCGAAAAATATAGAGGATATGGGAAAATGTTTCAGATAAAACGTTGTAGGGTTTGGAGGGAGACATAAAACATTTTTTAAATAGAATCATATAGTTTTTTTTTAATACAAATCGATTTCTCTATTCATTATATATATATATATAAAATTTATATATATATAATTTATATATATATATATATATAATTATTATTATATAATTATATATATATATATATATA